ATTTTATTTTATTTTATTTTATTTTATTTTATTTTATTTTATTTTATTTTATTTTATTTTATTTTATTTTATTTTGTTTTATTTTATTTAATTTTATACGTTTTTATTTATTTTTTGTTATATTTCTTTTTTATCATATTTTATTTTATAATATTTTGTATCATTTATTCTGTAAACAACGTTTTACTTTGAGACCAAAAAATTTCATATTATCTATTTAATTTCATTTTATTTTAGTTTCTTATTTATTTTTATTTTTTGTTTTGTTTTATTTTATTTCATTTTATTTTATCCAACTCTTATTAAAATAAAATACAGAGCAATGCAGGAAAGTTATTGAAAATGAGGAGAGTAGCTACTTAAAAAAACTAATTAAAGAGGCTTTACACTAAAAAAAGTGTAAACGAATTTCATTTCATTTTCGACTTGCGTAGTCGTTAGTTGATCAGAGAAAGCTTTACTCTTTTGGCAAGTACGTATGAAACTATAGAAAGTTTTAAATATCTCTCCTAAGGGTAATGTTTTGGTCGTAACAGTTTTAATTGCCGTCGTGCTCTTATTGTAACTCTCTGACTTTGTATACGTGCATGCTCTTTAAGGACCTGCCTAGAAGACGGTGACAAGTGCCGAAGTCTCGCATGTAGGGAAAGTTTTTGATCGCCATTCATCACGGAGTGCCCAAAAAAGATTATTTTGCATCCGGTTCAAGCAGCACACGACTTCCGGGGTTTACAACAAGTATCATCTAGGTAGCTAATTGCGAAAAGGTGAAACCCCACAGCAGTGGTTTGTGCGCTGGGCTTTGAAGCCGCCACGCAAATAATAATCCCGATCGGAAGAACCAAACAAGCTTCCGATGAGACCCCCTTCGTTGATTGAAGAACCACAGCATACGCAAAAAAAAGCCTGCTATTTGAGGGCATGCACCTGGAATGTCCGGTCCCTTAATGAGGAAGTTGCATCTGCCCTCTGGTTAGTTGACGTCTTCGCGAAGACTAGGACGGACATAAGCGCCATCCAAAAAATTTGATGGACGAGGCAAGGCAAGGAACGCGTGGGGCCTTACGACGTCTACTGCAGCTGCCAAGGAGCGCGAATTCGGTGTTGGAAAGACTCCGTCGCCGAGTACTGAAATTTATCTCGGTGGACAAGCGTCTGCCACCAATCTTCTTCTAAGCGAGATTTTATAACATCTCACTTATTTGCGCCCACGCCCCGGTGGAAGAGAAAGACGGGGCATCCCAGTATTTCTTCTATGAGAGCTTGGAGTCCACATACGAGTGCTACCCTTTTATGATATCAAAATCGTGCTTGGCGATTTCTTTGCCAGGGTAGGCAAGGAAGGGATCTTTGGTCTGAACGTCGGAGCACTCGGCCTACACGGCTAAACGCTCGATAAGGGACTGAGGCTGACCACTATCTATTGGCAGCCAAGATACGCGCACCTCCGTGTAGCGAAAATTTTCATCCAACAATGCAAGGAAAGCTCACTCTCAGGGCAAACCGACTGAGTCACATTTCGTTTAAGTATGTCTGTGTGTGCGACTCAATACTGGAAGTCCGCTATATGCATAGCTCTGCTCAGAGCTAAGTTACGCTGTATGTATGACTTGTCTTTATGGTTGACGAAAGTTAGTTTCAAAATCTATTGTTTAATTTTAGTTTATTTTAATTAATTTTGCGCAATTTTAATTTAATTTTTTTACTTACTTTTTACTTTTTTTGAATTTATTATTTTTTGTCCTAACTAGTTTTTATTTTATTTTTAATTTACTTTATTTTTCACTTTTAAGCTTCTAAAAGAATCTACTATACCATAATTCAATTTCACTTCGTTGCATTTCATGATAACTTCATCTCATTGCATCAAAAAACCTTGAATGAAAATTCTGGTCCGTTCCTGTACATATGTAGACGTGGATTGCTTATTTACTATATATCATAATAATATTTTGTGTGGTGAAATAATCTACCCGCTTTCAGGTAGAGGAACGGACCGAAACGGACTATTGTTTTATATTCCATTATATTTCATTTAACTCAGTTCCAATCTATTCCACCAAAGAAGTTTTTACTTCTTCTTCTTTGTACTCAATGTTCTTTGGTATTTTTTTTTTTTAATAATTACAACTTCTACCAAAGTATTCACAAACGAACCTTTTTATTTTTTTTAGAATCAGTGTCCGCTTAGGCGAGTATGAAATATCAAAAAATATCAAAAAAGACTGTTCTCATGGAAAGGCTATAAAAACGTGTACACAGC